TTCACTTAAATTAATATTGAGGTCATCAAATTCGATTCGATCGAATATCTGACATACGATATACTTTTGCTAATTATTGTAGTACATACGTCGGGAGACTGAATTTGTATTGTCGTATGTTCAGATGTTTCAAGTTGTTAAAGTCCTTTAATATCGCTAAAAACACATGTATTCTTGCATTGAGCGGGTCAAGAATCGAAGATTAGAAGAGTACGATGAGAAAATACAAAAGAGTACAAAACTTGGTCTCGCCAATATTGGACGAGGCTAGTTGTAAATTTCCTGACTTACTGTACGCACATGACAGAACCATATTAGTAGCTGTGAACAGATAAGCCGGAAATATGTATGCAAGAATCATGAAGATATGGTTTGCAAATTATATTAAGGCCCCCCTCCCACCCTAATTATTATTTTTGCTTCTGATCATCCAATCTTTCTGAAATTTTCAGAGGAGGTGTATCTCATGCTAGGTAGCTCACAGTAAAAATTTCAGTTCAAAATATTGAGTCTACCAAGTTTTACCTCAAGATTACTGGTCAAAATGGAGCAGTCCGCGTTTCCCAAATCCCGCTGCCATTTCAAATGCTAGAAAGCTCGGGTTGGTTTTAAAATATACTAAAGACCTAGCACTACAACTTAACAGGGCCCGAATTTTAATTTTTGTCTTTCATTTTTTTTTATTGAAGCTTATTTTATAATGTATGGTAATGATAGGGTGTGTATTATGATACATTTCAGTCTCATGAGACAATAAACATAAAATCTAAAATTTCGGCTCTGTTAAGTTGTAGCGCTAATCACTCCCTTCGTTTTAAAACCAACCCGAGCTCTCTAGCGTTTAAAATGACGAAGGGGTTTGGGAAATACGAAAGCGTTAAAACAAAAAAACCTATTTTGAGGAAAACCTAAAAGAAGTTTTAGAAGTGAAATTGGAGACTTTTCCCATAATAACATAGGATGAAATAAATTTTTCAGTGATTTTTCATAGATCATTGGTTAGAGCGAAGTCAGTAGAAACATGCACAGGTTTATGGAAAAAAATTTTGATTGGCTCTCAATTGACCAATCAGGTAAGCGCCTGTCCGATATTTTGAATATTGCTTTCGGAAGGCTTTTTCCATTTGTTTCTGGACTCCAATAAGACCATTCGATAGGAAAAATTGTTCTTTATCGATCTACGCAAGGCCAAACTCTCTAGCACACTCCGTTCAAGAGTTATAAGGTTTTTCCTGAGACCCCCGATTTCAGCCAATTTAGGTTAGATAACCCAAAAATAGGTCCTCAGAGGGGTAATCGACCATGCTGAGTCGAGTGGTGATATTTATTTTCGGTTTCAAAGTGATCTGAAATCACTATCGCGAAATTTTCAAAATTTGAAATTATTACCATATATAACGCAGAGCCGAAATTTCGAAAATTTTGCGATAGTGATTTCAGATCACTTTGAAACCGAAAATAAATATCACCACTCGACTCAGCATGGTCGATTACCCCTCTGAGGACCTATTTTCGGGTTATCTAACCTAAATTGGCTGAAATCGGGGGTCTCAGAAAAAACCTTATAACTCTTGAACGGAGTGTGCTAGAGAGTTTGGCCTTGCGTAGATCGATAGAGAACAATTTTTCCTATCGAACGGTCTTATTGGAGTCCAGAAACAAATGGAAAAAGCCTTCCGAAAGCAATATTCAAAATCTCGGACAGGTGCTTACCTGATTGGTCAATTGAGAGCCAATCAAATTTGGACATGTCTTTACTTCCCCCACATTGCTCATTCGAATGGTGAAAACCGTAGCTCGCTAGCTGCTTTCGTTCTCGAGTTATTTAAGAAACATTCGCGTTCATTTTATTTTGGTAGCGATAGTAGAATAGGGGGTTTCCGAAAAATTGACTTTACATCGTGAAAACTCATCATAAAACCAATAAACTATAGTGCGTTCGATAGCAGACACTTTGCTCTATCTAATGCACTATAAATCAAAAAATCGAAAAGTCTGACGAAAATTGGCATTTTAGGGTGGGAGGGGGGCCTTAACATGAAAGAAAAAATCATTATATGGAAACGATTCACTTTAATGTTTTCGTTTACATAATCAGACGGTTTTCTCAAACAAAGAAAGAGTGATTTCACAAGTTTGTCACTGAGGCTAATACATGGCTGTACTCGAGATGAATGCGTGATAGTATTATTCGAAGGAATAGCTGAAGTAGTAATTTTTTTCTCCTCTGCGAGAAAGTGCATGAGTTGAATATAGTTCAAGTTGAATACCAAATTGATCCGTTATTAAATACATAATCTGGATCATATTTCAATAAATCTTTGCGCATATTTGATAAAAATTCAGGTGCGAAATGTTGAATTTCTTCTTGAGTTGCTAGTTGTCTGTTTGCTATAACCTGAACCAGAATACAATGTTTCCTTTTTCAGTTCAACAAAATAACGATCATAAGACATGTTTTCTCCGCATGTCACTCGACTTGTGTTGCTGCTTATGCTTGATATAATTTGTAATGTATGGCAAGCAAAATTAAGGAAACACTTATCGATTTGATTGAAAACC